CCCCAAAACCCCAAAACCCCAAAACCCCAAAACCCCAAATTATTCTTCCAAATTTGAATAAAATATTTATTTTAGTTTAAATTTTATAAAAATAAATAGCAATGCAAGCAGTAGATCCCGTCAACGACTGGAGGGATACAGTCCAAAACTACCATATGTCCAAAACAAATCTTCAATTTAACCAAGAACCTGTGAAGCACGTCAGACATCATGAAATAAAGAAGATTGAAACAATGTATAATCCTATCTTGCAAAAATATTCAGATTCATCAGTAGAAAATCAAGTGAAGCAGGCTGAAAATGATAACTTAATCGATACTCTTGCTAAAAACAAAGACAGAGCTCTAAGATATGAACAGACTTTCGATGTTATTAACTTTGATGATAAATTAAAGGGATTAGAAAACCAGGAGGGATATCCCAAACCAAAACCTAAAAATACAAATATTGTCGGAGGGACAAAGACTTTCACAGAATATAATATTCTTTCGAATCTCTCTTTTAACGAACATCATTATCTTCCTCCAGAAGAACGACCAAAAGCTCCTTCAGATGATAAGGAAAAAGTAACAAAGAAAGTAACAAAAACTGGCCTCAGAGATTACAATATAATAACAAACAGGTATTTGGAACTAAATGATGAAAAAGTAGTCGTTGACAAAGAAATTGAGCGCCTCAACGCAGCCAAGAAATACTGGAAGACTCATGACTACGACCCTGTCAACACCCAGTACTACGACCCTGACAAAGAGCAGGAGTTCGTGGACGAGAGAGAACACAACGCCAAGATCCACGGCCAAGACTGGGTCCAGAAGCTGCCCAAGTCCTGGAAAGAAGAAGGCGGCCTCTACAACCCCATCAACGGCAAAATCGAAGACGAAAAGAGGCTCTGGGAGCGAGACCTCAAAGAGAAGAACAAGAGGAAGCGCTACGAAAAGAGGTACGACATGGAGAGACATGCTCGCAAAGTCGGCCTTGGCGAAGACGAAAGACAGCAGAAGATTTCACTCAACAAAGTCAACATCCAGAGGTTCAGAGACACCACCGAGAGAGGCTTCGACATTTTGACGAACAAGCAGTTCAACAACCCTGTGGACGAAGGCAGCAAGACTCTGCACGAGCCTTTTGTGAAGCCTCCTGCGTCTACGTGGACTAAGATCAAGGCTTCGGGGTCGAATGCATTTGACAGCTTCGATCCTCAAGGTGATCAGCAGATTCAAGATGGACGAAATCCATCAAACTCAAATGCATTTGAAGAGAATACTGCATCTGGAGATCTCAATGATAGAGCATATGATTCTCAGCATTTCGAATTTTCAAATACTCAAGTTATAGAAAGAAGAAGTAAAAGGTTAATGAAAGGAAACAGAACTTTGACAAATTTTAACTCTTCTGCCACTCCAAAAGGTCCAGAAAATAAAGCTAAGTCTGATTTACAGAGCGATATAACAAATAAAGAAATCAAAGATATATCTCCTGCAATTATTGAGAAACCACAAGCACCAAATAAAAAGATAGAAACAAATCAAGCTGCCTTACGCAAGAGTTCGAATAGAGGTCGGCTATCTTCTCAAAATATTGGCCAAGCCAAATCAACAGCCTCAACTGCTGGAGCAAAAATAGTGTCTTCCAAACCTGAATCCAAACGTTCATCTGTTCTATTCTCAGGTAGAGAAATCAGGACTGGAGCTTTTCAAAAGATGAAGTCATAAATCTCTCAATTATTTATTATGATAAAGGGGTTTTGGGGTTTTGGGGTTTTGGGGTTTTGGGGTTTTGGGGTTTTGGGG